AATGTCATAAAACAATATGTGTACTACTGTTTCATGAGAAACTATTTGTTCTGTAAGCCTTCACCTGAAGTACAATAAAAAAAAAGAAAAAAAAAATGAGTATCAATGCATATAAGCATAACCACTATCTACCTACTAGTTACAGAATTCAAGATTCTCATAAGCCAGTTCAGCAATTCTCAGTAATCAGACCTAGCCCTTAGGTCAGGATGGCACGTGTAACCATTGGTAAACATCAACCACAGCCTTCTCTCAGCTGAGCCCAGACACTACCTCAAAAGCCTTCTCAGAGCAACACTATCCAATCAATAAAAACTGTCAGAAAAGAGAAAGTTACCTGCCATTCCTCTGCAATCATCTGGTAAAATAGCATATTTAGATTTCCATTAATTATTCTTTCTTTCAGAAGTCCTGGAATAATTCCATTAAAGCTCAAAATTTATGTGACTTAAAAATACATTAATGATGCATCTCAGTCAAAACTCACATTTAAAATCAAACTACTCTTCCTCTAGAAATAATCAGGTGGTCTGTTTCAGTGAGAAATAACAGTTAATCTACATCAGAAAAATATATTCCATAACATAACCATTTCTGAACTATCAACCTGTTTAGAATTGCTTCAATCATTCATTTGTAAGAGTCCCAATTGAATCATCTGGCAATAGGGTTAACAAGACAACTGGGATTTTGGAAAGAATGGCATCCTATGGACATGATTAGTCAAATTTTGATAGTTACCAATAAATTTAAGTTTTTGTGTTAAAACTGCAATCTGAAAATTTACTTGCCTTTCCCAAATTTTTCTTTTTTTTTAACCCTTTCGTTACTGCATTTTTTTGTCCTTTTTTTTTTTTCTTTTGGATGGCAAGTGTTTTCAGTATTGGAATGCATGCTTACTAATTAAGTGTTTTAAGTTTTTGGTTGACGCAGTGGTTAAGAACTCAGCTGTTAACCAAAAGGTTGGCAGTTCAAATACACCAGCCGCTCCTTGGAAACCCAGTGGGGCCGTTCTACTCTGTCCTATTACTCTGTCGCTATTAGTCGGAATCAACTCGATGGCAACAGGAATATGGATTTTGAGAAATGTGATCTTGTAATACAAGCCACCCAATGAGGTGAGTGACACTGTGGCACCACCAATCTGTGGCATAACCATATACCAATGGGAACTAGATATATAATTTATTGCTGGCACCCCTGCTGGTTTTCCATATATGACACAGAAAACCAAAACAAACCCATCAGGCTCCCTAAGCATCACACAGGAAAGCCATAATTATGCTTAGTCTTATCTCACAGAAATAAAGGAAAAAAAAGTTTACAAAAGTAACACATCCAGGAAGCATCACCTAACAGAATGCTCAACCTACACAACGAAGCTCACCCTGACACTAACTACATTAGAATCGGAGTAATGTACTACCTGTGAGGTCCAGAGGCATAAAAAGTGGTTGGTATGCCGTTAATCCAATAGTAACTAAGAGTTTTAAACAATGTTTTTAAAAGTATTACTTTACAGAATGTTTTAAAGTTGGGTTGAAAGCAAAAACTCTTCAACTGACCATCTGTATTGTAAAAATAAGACATGTGAAGTACATGCATCTACAAACCCAGCAAAGAATGTGAAAACAGCCTGGTGGGGGTGAAGTGGAAGGAGTACCTTAAATTTCTGAACAGTATAGATTACAGATATATATTAACATTACTTTTTACTAGCTGAAGACTGCCAACAGTATTTGAACCAAAATAACTAGAACAACTGCAAAAAATATTATCTGATACTAAGAGAGAGCTTTTTTTTTTTTTTAGATGCTAAAGAAATGAGGTAGTTTGCTTTACCTGATGATCCGGGAGACAGGGCAGAGGGTCCTGGGGAGGGATTCATGGTGCTTGTAGGCTGTGGGGGTAAGTGGCTGCCTGAGATATATCGGCTTAGTAGATTATCTAAACTACTTGAGCCAGCATCTTCCAACTGAAGAGAAAGAAAAAATAAATTTACTCTGATTAAAGCAGAGAAGTTATTAATTTCATTAGTGTTACCATATCTGCTCATAGTTTACTAATAAGCTAAAAGATTATACAATATCAAATTCAAATTAAATGTTTCCTTAGGCTCCCCTGAGGACTCACACAATGTAACATTATTGTGAACTGTAATTACTTTTACTCAACAAATAATACCCAGCTGCTCAAGACAAAACCCAATGATATACTAAATCTTTTATGTTCTACCCTGAAAATTCCTCTGACATACTCTGACACTTTTGCCTTTCCCCAAAACTGCTGCTGGACCAATTTATCAGTATTCTTTTCTCCAGTCTCTTTCCCTCTATTTCAATGTCCACAGTCTGCCAGAGTCACTCCCCTGAAGAGTCATGTCAATGCCCAGCTTTTAAACTTTGATTAAGTTCTTAGAGTCAACAAAATGCCCTTAGTCTGATACAAAAGGCTCCCTTACCACCCAAACAAAAGGGGCAGGCAATAGGAGGGCTGAGTCCTTTTCTGACTTACAGGTAGTAGTATAAAGCCAGAGAACCAGACACTGTGACTTTGGACTAGTCCCCAATTTGAATACCCGTTTTCCTAATCTTTAAAACATCCTGCCTACATCACAGAACTGTGATGATTAAATGAAAGAACAAATAGTATTTAAATATTAAAATTACCTTAAATTAAATTTCACACTATTCTATATGAGAGATGGTCAAGTTGTTCTTGCTTCAATAATTGCTAATATTTTGCTTGCTGGTTTCCCTTGCCCCCTTTCAACCTTCTCTCTCTCTAGAGCCATGACTATTTTTTCATGCAAATCTACTTCTGGTTCCAGACAGAAAACTGAAAACGTGCATTTACTTCTTAACATGAGATTTGTTGTACTCTTGCCTGTGTCTAGTGAAAGGACATCAAAGCAGAAACACTGGAGAAAAGTCTGGATATAAACCAAAACAGAAGTGAACTGACATCAGAGTAGGGCAGCGCAAAACAAATCGCAAGCAACGGAGGGCATTTCTAAAAACAGTAAACCAATTTTCTTGTCAAAACCCTTAAAATACAAGGTAAGAGACATGATGGGCTGAAGGTAATAAGAGTATGCTGTGAGCTTGTTGGAGAGACAATTAAAGGATCTCGGTAGCTTTGCCTGCCCTGTGGTCACAGCTGTTGGCCAAGGATTCACCTGTAACTACAAGTAAATTCTTAGCTGCAACTGAAGTCAACTGTAGGATTTGTAAGAGGGGAGAGCTAATGCGGGCCACAGATGTAAGTGGGGCTGCATCCCACCTAAAAAGAAACAAGGGGTGGGGGATTACATATGGTTCAATACAGTCATGAAAATCTCATGTTAATCCACCTCTGCCCTTGCTGCTTTTATACTCTCCATCTGCAATTTATACCTCTGGCCAAACAGACATCCCTAAGGCTAGAAGAGTGGACCAGGTTAGGAAAAAGCAAACAGTGAGTATGTAAAAGGGCTTCCTGACTCTATTACAGCCTCTAACAGGGAAATGTTAGCTGAAGCATTCATCTCCAATTTTCACTAGACACAGGCAAGAGTACAACAAAGCTGAAAGACTAACTGGAAAAAAAAAATTAGTTTATTCATTAAATCAACGGGTTTTTTTTGATGCATCTCCTATGTGTCAAGTATTGTTCTTAGTGACACAGCAGTTAATCAAAGACTCTTTGTGGCAAAGACTGCTGGCTGTTCTCCCAGAACCATTCTCCCCTACTTCTGGACACACAGCTACTCAGCTACACATTATATTTACTAGCCTCCTTTACACTAGGTATGACTGTGTGACTAAGGTCTTGCCAACTGAAGGTGAGCAAAAGTGATGCGTACAATTTTCAAAATCACTTGGTTAAAAGGAAATCTCTTGCCAGGGACTTCTACTCTACTTCCCCTGAGCTGGAAGTCACAGATAACCACTATACAGATCAGGACAGTGCCCTAGGGCAGGGGTCTGCATACTTTTTTTTAATCAAGGTCCAGACAGAAAATATTTTAGACTTTCCGGGCCACAAATAGTCACTCTCACATATTCTTCTTTTTACTCCTTAACTCCTTTAAACACGTATATAAAAAAAAATCCTTAGCTTGAGGGACATACACAAAAGGCTGCAGGCCAGCTGGCCTTAGTTTGTCGATAAAGGATGTGAAGAAACAAAATGGAAGGAATCTGAGTCCCTAAATAACTGCACAGAACAAATGGTATGTGTTATGTAAATAATTTCTGTGAATTAAAAGGAAAAAGACAATCTCAAAAGAAAAGTAAGCAAAGGATTTAAGTAGATAACTCATAGAGGAAATAATTAATGAAATTCATTCAATGGGGAAGAAAGAGTCTCTTCAATAAATTGGATTTCCACATGCAGAAGAATGAATCAGGATCTAAGCCTCACACCATACACAAAAACTAATTCAAAATGGATGAAGGACAACCTAAATGTGAAAACTAAAACCATAAAAATCTTAGTAGAAAATGTAGGGGTGAAGCTGTGGGACCTAGTTTTTAGCAATGGGCTATCAGATATAACAACAAAAGCACAAGCAGCAAAAGACAAAATAGGTAAATGGGACCCTATAAAAGTTAAATACTTTTGTTCATCAAAGGACTCTATCAAAAAAGTGAAAAGAACCTACAGCTTGGAAGAAAACGTTTAGGAACCATATATCCAAAAAGGATCTAATATCCAAAATATACAAAATACTTCTACAACTTAACAACAAAAAGATATGCTTGCGCCCATCAAAAAATAGGCAAAGGACTTGAACTCACACGTCACCAAAGAGGATATTCAGATGGCTAACAAGCACATGAAAAGACACACACATCATTAGCCACTGCTGTTGTTAGATTCTGACTCACAGTGACCCCATGTACAGAGTAGCCAGGGCTTCAAACTGGTCCGCTCCAGATGGAACCCCTGCTGAGAATTTGCATTTCTAACAAGCTTCCAGGTGATGCTAATGCTCTGGTTAGGGACCAGTTCTGAGAATCATTAGTAGAGCAGTGGGTCTCAAAATTTATTATACATAAGAATCACCTGGGGATCTTGTTAAACTGTGGATTCTGATTCAATACATCTGGGACGGACATGCAAATTCTCAGAGGGGTTCGAACCAGAAGAAACTGATCTGAAGCCCTGAGTAGAACTGCTCCATAGGGTTTTCTAGGCTGTAATCTTTATGGGAGCAGATTGCCAGGTCTTTCTCTCCCAGAGCAGCTGGGTGGGTTCACTTAACCATTGTGCCACCAAGGCTCCTTCATTAGCCCTTAAAACCATTGCTGTTGAGTCGATTCCAATTCATAGTGACCCTACAGGACAGAGCAGAACTGCCCCATAGGGTTTCCAAAGCTGTAACTCTGTAGGGAAGCAATCTGCCACATCTTTCTCCAGAGGAGTGGCTGATGGGTTCAAATCATCAACCTTTCAGTTAGCAGCCAATTATTTTAGCCATTAGGGAGATGGAAGTCAAAACCATAATGAGATACCATCTTACCCTCAATGGCATAGCAATGGAAAAACAGGGAGTGTGTGTGGCGGGGGAGGGGGAAGAGATAGGTACTGGCAAAGCCTCTCAATACTATACTTTTTTAGGCCTGCAATCCCAAACTATCTTCCTGATCTCACTATGGACAGTAGAAACAGACATGGACTTATAATCAGAAGTCTGGGCTTTGAATTCCAACTTTTCCATCCATTTCCTGTGTGACTCTGAGTAAGTCACTGGCTTCTCTCAGGCTTATCCATAAAATGAGGATGATAATAACATATGATAAGAGGTGATTTCAAACATTAAACTGATTTTCTATCTGTGAAAGTATACTGTAAATAAATTATAAACAACTTAGAAATATCATTTTTCATCTATTCCAAAAATTTCCATTCTATCTAGTCCAGTCCTCTTATCACCAACAAAATACTCTTCACTTAGCCAAAAAAGATCTCACCTAATATCAGGGAAGCAATCAGATAAAGAGAATTCACAATGAATTAGTGATTGTCTAACAATTTTGAAGTTACAGAAACATCCTTTCAAACAAATTCTTACATAAAACCATTAAATACATAAAAATATTAAAGCACAGCCATAGAGAGTGTCAAGGGTCCTACTGGCCCAGCAGTTTCACTATTCTTTGCTCCCACGGTGACCCTTGATGCCTAGTAACTCATGAAGTGTAACTCTCAGGTTATATTTACATTTAAAAATCAAATGCCTATTAATTCAAATGAATTTCTGAAATTTCAAAAGGCAATGAGAGAGATTTCTCATCAGGGAAATGTCACAGGTGAAAGGGAACAGAAGGTCTCAGAGTGAGGCCCTTAATCTTCCATTTACTCCTCCTCACCTTTACTTCCCCTCTTAGTAGACGTTCCCCGAGAGCTAAACCTTCCAACCTATTTCCTTCTTTTTCCCGACCCGCTTGCATGAGGGGATGACTATCCCTTGTGGACCTAACAGAAGAATGACAACGATTTGACCATATTATGGTCGTAGGTCTGTTCTCTGGTTCCAAACTCACACCAAGAGTGCTTCATCTGACACAAGTTTGCCTTTTGGCAGGTGATAAAAAGGAAGGAACTAGCCTATTAGCAAAGGTGACATTAATCCATTATTGTACCTTTGTTTAGACAGTCTCATAATCTGCTAGTCATACATTTGGTGTCTTACAACTTTAAGACATTAAGGAATGCTGGTTTTGGCACAAGTAACATATGAAAATTCAAATATGTATATTTCACTCTTTAGAAACTTTAAAAATGCTGGTCATGATTTAAAAAAAAAAATACATATTCTAACTTCCTAATTCATGTGAAGTTCTCAATACCTCATTCAAACAAACCATGCAAACGTACAAACCTGTATGGGTGGAATATCTGGCAGTGATGGAAGGTTTTCTGGATTGGTAACTGAGGGGATAAGCTCTATTGCTGTAACAGATGGGCTGGTGGGACCTCGGTTTGCATTTGCCATAGTAGCTATAGTAGGGCTGGTTGGGTTGATTGTGGTGTTGTGCACTGATACAACAGGAAAGGGTCCAGCATGCCCTGGATTTGAGTGCTGTTAGGAAAAAAGACATTCTCATTACTTGATCTGCCAGAATATCCCAATATGAACTATACCTTCAAAAGAATTTCTAATAAAGGATTACCTGTGTCTCAAAAACAAAGTAGACCTTCTGGAACTTACATAGAAAGAAAATAGGCCAAACTTAGCCTTTTTGTAAATGATCATTTTTGTATATGATCTAGGGGAAAACAGGCTTCCCAATAATTTTTCAACCTGTCAACTGGCCTAGTGATACCTTATTTCAGAACAAGGATGCATGTAATACATGATCTGGAAGCCCTCAAGTTTTAAAACAGCAGGCCAAAAAGCCACTGTGCTATCTATATTCTTCTTTGATTCTTTATCTTTTTCCCTTTTTTAAATAAAAATAATTGTGTAATGCAGCTTAATATGGCAGAAAGAATACTGAATTTACAGAAAGAAAATATGATATCAATTCCTGACTCTAATACTGTGTGGCTTGGGCAAATCATATCTCGGTAATGTAGTAATGGGGTAACGATGCCTCACTTGTCTGATTTTGAGGATTATTAGGAGGATCATTTGCAATAATTAGACAAAAATCTTTGGGGGAAAATAAATTACTATACATAGTTGGGTGCAGACAGTTTGCACTACTCAGGAACCTACACATATAGATAAATCATTTAAAATATTTTAAAATGCTAATATTCAGTGATTTCTGTAGGGGCAACCCTAAAGTCTAAAGATAACGTTCTGAGGTGGTGGGATAGTCTGATTCTCTAGCTTCTGCCTTCTTCCAAATGGGGTACGCAGAGAGTGTTGAGAAAATGAATGTTCAGATTCTCAACTTTCGTATGTACTTTTTCCTAAAGACAACTTGGTTTGCCTAAAAATGTGCCATTGTCTGCAAATTCTACCGCTTCTTTCACAATTACCCTTTCGCCATGTGACAAAAAAAGAGCACAGCCCTGACTCATTTCTAATCTTCTTATAGCATATTTCCCCATGATGAAAACAACTCCTGGAAAGGTAAGCAAAGATACAACTGGAAATAATGGTGTTGGGTGTTGAGAAAGTGACTGGCTCCAAAACCTGGGTAACTAATCTTCTAGTGGGTTCCAATACTTGATGCTCAACAAAAATTAAGAAAGACCTGACAAAGCTAACAATTGATAGATTTTTTTGAATAATTTTGATAGATCATTGACTTATGGCTTCTAACCTAGACAAAATTCCAATAATGCAGGAATATCACTAAAATAAAACTTTTAACTCACAGATACATATTTTTGTGAACAAGTTTTATGAACATCACATGAAAACCAAAAACCAATAAACAAACCTGTAATAAAAATTGATGTTGAATCCTGACTCACTCCAATAAGAAGTTATCAGTGATACAAAAGTATATAAATGAATAGGAGGGGAAAACAAGGCCCCATCTATCTCATAAAGATGTGCATATATGAAAGAATTTTTAACTCAAGTTTTCTAGTATTTTTAAACCATGTAAATATATTTATATTGTTTAAACAACTGTGCAGGAGTAACATAATGATAATTCAGTCCAGAGACAAATTTTTATAGCTTAATAGTCCTACTGTTACTGGAAATTTAACAAAGAAATATTTTTATGGAAGTATTTTTGCTGCAGAAAATTACAACAGGCTGTTATATAAGTCTTCCAAGCATAAATATATTAAGATAGAATTCTGTAGAGGAAGTAAAAGAGAAATATAAATTCAAGGATAAAAAGGAGTGTAAAAACGAGCCTGGTATGGTATTTGGGATTCTGGTGGATTCATTTAAAAGAATGATCTAAGTGTTTTACTTTGTAATGTCAATATTTACAATATGCTAGAAATTATGGCCTTTACAACGATTTAAACTTCTAACGGAAATTTTAAATGTCAACTTTAAAATGTGAAAAAAACCAAAACCAAACCCATTGCCATCGAGTCAATTCCAACTCATAGCGACCCCATAGAACTGTCTCATAGGGTTTCCAAGGAGTGGCTGGTGGATTTGAACTGCTGACCTATTGGTTAGCAGCTGAGCTCTTAACCACTGCGCCACCAGGGGGAGTGCATATTTTTCAGAAGTCGGTAACCAGTTGCCATCCAGTTGATTCTGACTCACAGCAACCCCATGTATGTCAGAGTAGAACTGTTCTCAATGGCTGATTTTTCAGAAGTAGATCACCAGGGCTTTCTTCTGAGGCCTGGTAGGTAGACTGAAACCTCTGACCTTTAAGTTAGCAGCCAAGTGTGTTAAGTGTTTGTACCACCCAGGGACTCTCCCTTCCAGAGGTACTTGGGTCAAAAAGTTGAAGGGCCACTGCTCTAAAAGAGTGGTTCTCAAACCTTAGTGTGCAGGCTGACCTGAAAGATTTATTAGTAAAAGTTTATGTATTTCCCAGTATTCCCTTCCTGAAAATTCTAATTCAGTGGGTATGGCTCACAATCTGCATTTCTGACAAGCCCCAAGTCCCACCTCAACCCCACCTGTGAATCTGAGGGTCTTTAAAGCATGCTTTCAGAAACACCATTCTAAGAATTATAAAACTAACTTTACTACTACAAATCTTACATAAAATTAGCCTCATTTTATAATTGTACCTCCTATGCAAATATACTATTCAGACAAAGATTAGAAAACATGTCTCTAAATAGTTATTTCTAAAATTAGGCATACCTACATCCTAAAAGGAATAATACTTGAATAGAGAGAAGCAAAAGAAAAAGAATTACAAATAGCATAGCTCTATTACTTTCAAACTCCTTTTTATACATTAGGATTGAAGAGTCACACTCAAAACTAAGAATCTAATCTTGATTTCACTGTTATCTCATGCGACTGTGGGTAAATCAACAGCACGTTAGATTTTTCAGACTGTAAAATGAAGAAAGTGGACTAGATTAGGGGTTATCAACCCACAGTATATGATAGGTTTAAAGGGATCAAAGAAGCTCCTATTAATGCAAATTTTCCATGTAAATGTATTTTCCTGGGTTAATTAACCCGACCCCCGACCCCCACCACTACCACCACTGATTAAGAAAAAGATTTCTTTAGTTTTAAAATTGTATGATTCTTACAAATGTAACTCTAGGCATACTTGTCTTTGGAGGTGGGGCTGCATCATGGAATATTGAGGGCCGCTGTGTCTGGGTATCCCTGGTATTCGGGCAGCATTCTGAGCCATTCTCATCTGATGGGCTTGGAAAGCTCCACAGTTTATATTGCCTCTTTGCATTGTTTGTACACTGATTAATCTTGGAGGCTATAAAAGGAAGAGATTGCACTTAGTTGATAATATTTGTCTATAAATTTATCTTTCATTATAAAATGTTCATGGTTTTAAAAAAAATTCAATCAGCATAGAAGAGTATACAGTAAAAAGTGTAAGCCATTCCCCTCATTTCCAGCCCCAATCCCCAGGAGGTAATTGCTATAAAGAGTTTGTGTATCACTCCCAAATATCCCTATCCCTTCTCTCTGTGTGTGCTTAAAGCATGTTAACAATCTAACCCACCCCGGAGTGACAGTTTGATTTGGATGAGGGAGGTGGCAGTAGGAGAGACATAAAACAGGGAATGAGTTGAACAAATGACCAAAGAACATAACAGATCTTAGGCAGAAACAGTGGTTCTTTGGCCCAAGACACAATCATATGTGGAAAACAAAACAGATTCGGGAAAGAGCGATGAAAACTTGTGTGCCTCCACAGTACTGGTGAATTCGTTTTGTTTCCAATGAAAAATATTTACTTACGGTCCCTCCTCATACCTCTCCCCCATCCACCACCATACTCAGAGCAAATATTTAATAAACTCTGAGTTCTATAACTCTGCTAGTAACTTTGAAATGTGTAACTCATTTATATAGGATAGAGTACAGACTTAGATGTTCCTAATTTGTATCAGTAATGTATTGACACAATACTCACCTGTTGTTGTAACATCTGAGGGGCTGCTTGTCTAGGATGCTGCTGTGTTGTTGTTGTGGTTGTTGGTACAGGTGCTGGTGGTTGCTGTATCCTCATCTGCTGCAACTGTTGATGTTTCTGTGCATACACTTGTTGCTGCATGTGCTGGAGTCGAAGCTGTGCTAAGTTAATCTGTCCAGGGGTTTTACTAATGTGGTTTGTCCCTGGAGGAACTTGCCCAACTACAACATTAGGAGTATAACCAGGAGCTGGTTTACTCTCTATTACCAGATTACCTGAAAGATTAAAAGAATGAGAAGAATTTGCATATAATTAGCTAAGTCATCTCTACCTTGTGAATTAATCATTATCCTTTCCTACTTCCTCTACCAACTGTCAGCAATCAAAGCTTCCAACAGTAAAGCAGGGATGAGAGTCAGGCTTAAAGATAATGACTATCAGAGAACTTCTAATACATTATAAAGCCAATAAACGACTTTTGAGTAATAAAAATAATATATTAGCTGCACTTATTCTTTATTTACAGAGATATGTACAGAAAACTAAAGAGCAAAAAGAGATATTATTAGAGGAGGCCCATCTATTCGATCTAAATCAATTCTCCCCTGACAAGGGGTACTCAAGATTGCTAATACTGGTTCCATCTGCCTTCTAATTACCAAAATGTGTAGGGCAGAGTACTACATTGCTACAAAATTGTCTTCTGTGGAAATACTGAATGCTTGAAACACTTATGTCCCTAAAAGTAAGTGACAATTTTCCTTGTTTCTCACGGAGCACATTACTTTCTAGGGATAGATGGCAAACTTTAGGAAGGTATGATCTAAGGCAGAGGTTCACAAATGTTTTCTATAAAGGTCCAGATAGTAAATATTTTAGGCTTTGCAGGCTACATAATATCTCTGTCATTTGTTTGCTTGCCTGTTTTTACAACTCTTTAAAAACGTAAAAGCCATTTTTAATTCCCACCTGGTCTAAGGATATAGCCAACTTTTAACATAATTTTTTTCCTTTATACAAAGATTACTTCCTGACAGAAGGCCATCCAGTCTCTGCTTTTACAACTTCCAATGTTGGGGAATTGATTAATTTGAAAGTGAGTTTACTCAATTCATAGACAGCTCTAATTGTGGGGAAGTTCTTTTTCTTTTTAAACTGAGCTGTTGTCTGTCTCCCTGTAACTTTCATCGAAGGTCCTTAGGTCCACACTGTGGAGCAGTAAAAGCAAAGTCCGTTTCTCATCCATGTGAAAAGAGCTACTCTTACCTTTCAAACACTACTGAGGACATGACTTCCAGACACATCAATATCCTAGAGGTCCTCCTCTAGTGGACAATTTGGCACAATTAATATACAAACTACTAAGCATCTAAGAAATTCTTCCAGAGAATGAAGAACCATTTGCTAAGATTTCTGTGAGAAATAGTCAATATCAATTTTCAAAGGTGTGAGGAAGAAGCTAGAAATGGTACACATTCAAAAAAAACTATAGACTCTCAACTTTCTTAAAGATGTAACGACATGGCAATACAAAACCATAGCTAGAGTTACCAGTGGAAAATATATTGTTTTCCAAGTAGTTTACATGTTAAAGTGAAGTGAAAGTTAGATACTTTTAGTATCAAAAATTTGCTTTAGATACTTTCTCCTCCTAATTCAGTATTCCAAATAATATTCATAAAACTAATGATTTCTCACCTAAATTGACTACATTCTTTGCCCAGAAGGTGGGATCACAATGGAAACGTATTGCTCCATTAGCAGCAGGAACAGGATCACACCGTGCTTTCAAAATATGACGCAGCTGAAAAGTAATCTTAAAGGGAAAAATACACATTAGTCTTAAATACTCATTGAGAAACATACAAGGTAAAGGCATAAAAGCTCAATCTCAGGTAAGATGCTATTAGTGAGTGTTTAAAAGACTATCTAAATTAACAATCAACCACACGTGCTTGAACTTCTGCCATCTCTAGTAATAAATTACATTAAGATACTAGGTATATTCAAAAAATACATACTACATGATGCCGTTATATGAAATTCTAGAAAATGACAGAAAGCAGATCATTGGCTGCCTAGGGCTGGGGGTAGAGGGAAGAACTGGCTACAGTAGGGCACAAGGAAACTTGGGGGTGACGGCAATTTTCTGTATCATAATGTGGTGGTAGTTACATTTGTCAAAACTCAAATTCTACACTTTAAAACTGCAGTTTATTGAATGTAAATAATGTCTTAAAGTCAATTTTATGGGGATAAAAAGATGCTACTTGTCTCACCAGTCGCTTGCTGTACAGTAGTGCCGTGCTGCTTCCACTTGCAATTGCCCAGTTTGTAAAGTTCATAACATGCTTCACCTGCCGGGAAAGACCTGTGATGTCATTCTGCTGCTGTATTAACTTCATCTGTCTTTCTTTTGTAACATTCTGAAACAAAACAAGAGCTTCACTGAAGAATTCTATACAAAAAAAAAAAATACACTCAAAGTTGTTATCACAAATGGACACAATACCTACATTTCTTTAAAAACTGGGTAAATTGACAAACTCTGATTATTTGATCAGCCTACAGAGGCATAGTGGTTAAGCATTTGGCTGCTAACCAAAAGTCGGCAGCTCATAATCCACCAGCTGCTCCTTAGAAGCCCTATTGGGGCAGTTCTACTTTGTCCTATAGGGTCGCTACGGGCCGGAATCGACTTGACGGCAATGGGTTCAATTATGATCATAGGAAAAGTCACTGTCAAAAGTGGGACTAAAACTTAGTTCTCTATGCTAAAAAAGACATTCCACATATAAATTAGTGTTAGTTGATGTCTCTTTTCCTTCAGAAGATGAAATGTCTAAACTACTGCCTTGCCATTAGGTTAATCCAACATACAGAGTTTATGGATAATGAGCTGACCTTTAGAAATAATTTTATGTAACTTACTGCACTTTGAAACGTTTCAGGCCAAAGAAAATTTGTGTTACCAGTGCCATCTATTGGTCAGGCGTGAGGCTGAAGTTACATCTTATCTTTTAAATACTTAAGACAAAATGAAAAGATGAATTCCAGAGCTCTGAGAGTACAGTTAGGGACGCTTTTGATACGACAGGTGTTCATAAAGAACAAGGGAATAGGTGAGGACTAAAGGAAAGACCAAATTTTGGAAAATACTGCAAAGGAAAAATAAACTGCTTTATGGGAACTAAGCCCCACAAAAGGCATGGGTGATGTCCTATGTATATGCTTTGATATTCAGCATGCCAAAGAACCTATTTAACTCTTTCTTAAACCCTTTCATGAAATAATTCAACTTGGTTTACTGGACAATTTTTTTTTTACTAAGGAAATCAGTTGCTTATTTTATAATGTAACTCAATGGATAAAAGTATTCGACAGACAGAAGTCTGGCTTACAATTTCACTGGAAATCTTCCCTTTATGAAGTTTAGGAAATACTCTGTTTTAAAAGTTTAGGAATATATTTCACTAGAAAACATTTATTTTTTAAATTATCATAATGTAGGAGATTTATCAGTAGGTATTTACATATATTTTAGCCTTAAGGGACATCTTTTAATTCAAAAGATCTTGAAATTCAAGTTTTGAAAACTTTATTTTAGACCTATAACTAAAATATGTTTACAGGAAGTTAAAAAGTACCCAAACTATAGTTACTGCTAAGTGCTTTCCATCCCACTGTCTTTTTTTTTTTTTTTAAGGGGCAGGTGGAGGTGGGGGAATCTCATAAAGTTAAACGCAACTGACTAGATATGCAACAGGAAAGAGACCCCCAACTTTAACAATACACATGAGAGTAATCTCACAATTGTGCCTCAATGGAAAGATATATTTCAAAACACAGAAATTCAAAAGTAACATTGTGCTGGCATAATTTCTTTCATTTGTATGTAACTAAGCGCCTAATAGTTCTATACTATAAAAGAACGGATCAGAAAAATATCTATTAGGGGAAATTTGAGGTTAACAGTAACGAAGTTAAATCGTTAAATACTCACACAATTCAAATTATTATTCAGAGGTGAATAAAACATAATCCCATAGCATCTGAGCCTACTTTAGAGCACCAAATTTTCAAGTGGGAAACTTCTTTTTTTAAAAAATTGAACTGCTCAAAAAATTCACATTTAAAATTTGCTGAGAATTAATTAACTGTGGGCTGTAGAGACTAGTCTTTGATTAAAATTAATTTGGATTTTACAAACTGACTGAATTCTCATCCAGAAATTTATATCTACATATTAATCTCAAAATATGGAACACAAAGCCCTAATATCACAAAATTATCAATAAGTTTACAGTTTATTAATTTCAAAATGAGTAGTATTTTAAGCAAAACTAAGGAAATATTTTAAAAATCAAGTGAAACACACAAATGAGTCAAGCAGAAGCTCAGTATATGCTTTCACATGGGAAAGTTAAATTGAGGCTCCCCATCCTAGGAAAAGAAAGAAAAATCAAAGGGGCCTGCTTCATCTTCTTTTACATTACATTTTAGTAATCATTCATTCATTCCCAAGAGGACATCATTATCTCCTACCTTATAGAGCTAAAAATCAATGTTATAAAATTGGACTGCAAAATAACTAACTAGAAAAAAAACGATCTACTTTCCAACCGAAAATGTTAAAAAAAAAATTTTTTTTGTTTTATTTTTTATTTACTTTATTTCCATACCCCTCTCCCCAACCCACCTAAAAGAGTTTTCAATAAACATTTAAAACAGCTAAAGAGCAAGAGAAGCAGTTTTTTATTTTGTTTTTGTTTTTTGGCTTTGAACCATACCTCTAGCTGCTGTAAGAGAGATTTTCCTTTCTTATTAATTTCATTGATAAGGGTGAAAATGGCCACTTTAATTTCCTGTTCTACTCGTTTGTTAGTCTCATTTACTTCTTTTATCCTGAATAAGAGAAATGCATCATTAGATTATCAATTTATCCTATGTCTCTGAATCATCAACTGTTACAGAAATTCATCCAACTGGCTACTTAACCAAGTAATTAAAATAAAGCATTGTCAAAAGGTACGATTTATGTTTTGGCAGACCTGACCACTCAATTTGGTCCACAAAAGTTATGTATATAGACAAAGAATGGATTTAATATATAGTAATTTTAAATTAAGCTCATAAAGGCAGGTTTATTAAATCTGAATGGTAATTTCCTTAAGTCAATGACATGAATGTGATATATAAATGTTTGACATCAGCAATTGCTGGTGAGTGTCAAGTCTGGCACATTGTTTTGTTTAATCTTGATGCTTTCAGAGAACAATGTATAAAAGAACAATCTTGCAACCAATAATTATTATCTTTTGAAAGGATAGGAATTAAGTTTAGAAGCATTTATAATGCAACCACTTCAAATGTGGGCTCTGATATACCCCCTTCCATAGTATCTTCTCAAAATGGTTTCCTATTGTACAAAGCTAAGGGCATAAAACATTTTTGATCTATTTTTAAAAAAAAAGATGTTTTAGAAATAGCTAGGAGCACCCACTATGGCTATGGAAGCTTCAGTTGCAAACAGGAAGGGGGGAACCCCACCAATAAAAATACACAAAATGTCAACAACTATTACCAGGTAGCCTTCAAATTTCATACATTCTACTTCTGTACAAACTATAACTCACAGTTTCAACCCCTACACTGCCTTTCATTTGCCAAATTCAAATCTGAGTACCTTTAATACACTTTGAGTCACAGCAACGCCCTTTCTCTAGGGAACAACATGGTTTTGGTACTACTGCCTCTGTCTGTTACCACGGTGCTTATATGGGCAATTATTTGAAAATTTTATTGAATTCTTCCTTTATCTTATTAAAGTCAGTGGAAAACATATTTTAAAAATGAAATTCAAGTTTTAAAAACATCATTTTAGACCTGTAACTAAAAATGTATTTACAGTAAGTTAAAAAGTACCCAAACTATAGTTACTGCTAAGTGCTCTCCATCCCACTTAGTGATGAAAAATCTAGGTCTCAAACTTAACATGACTGAGCCAAAGGTGAAAATCATTAAACATGCTGAAAGTAGAAAACAGCCTCAGTCAGATGTTCACTGGCCTTAAGCAGGTATACTATGTGTTCAATTGTGAAAGATGAAAAAATTAATGTACATTTAAAAAATTATGGAGATAGGCCACTGAAAAATGGGTCTAAAAGGGGACATATAATCAGATTTTAACTTTTTTTTTTTTTAAAGCGCTCAGGAAATGAAGTCACTAATCTCTTCAACCCCATCCCTCCAACTCCTTCCAATCTTATAACACATAAACCTCTTATTCTATTTCTATACACAGCTTCAGGAACACATTACAAAGTATGTACAAAAATACACTGCCAAATGAATCAGCCCACTATTCTTCCTCTGAAAGGATGTCCATGTATAATTTATAGACGGCGTAGCTATCCTCTCCAACATCAACCAAAACATACCAGCATTATAACTTAAAACATTGAGATTTCCATAAAAACCAACCACTAATGATCACTTTATATATTTATAAATACATATATTTATATATTTATTTGTAATCGCTTTTGTTTTCTTTTGGTATCACTTCTTAGGATGAAAAGTTCTACTACCTTACTTTCTAATGAATGTATAAAGCACTATTTTCCATCCATTCATTCAAATATTTAATTTTCTTAGCCATTTTAATCATCTTAATGAATTTCAGTATTCTAGAGGTACCTAAAAGTCCCTGTATCTGTGAATCTGCAAAATAAACAAATAATAACCCTATTCAGACCTCCATGAATTTACAGGTTTTAATTATGCCACTTCCAAGTACTTGTCTTTCTTGATGAAGAGTCCTAATCTTGTTCATACGCTCTCTTATTGGAAGTACTCCCACTCTCCCTGTCAATAAGTTTAATTTATTCATAAATGAGCCAAAATAGAATACTTTTTAAATAATAACAATGATGACTATGATGATGATAAAAATAACAGCAGCAGCTAAGGAATTAGTACTATGTTTTCTCCTCATAATAAAGCTACTAAGGTAAGTGGTGTTTTTAATGCTTGTTTTACAAATGGGGAAATAAATTTGTCCACTACTCTTGATACTCTATATGATGCCTTCCACACAGTCTCTAGTGTAAATTTTATAATTCAACTCTCTATGTATTTGTTTCTTTTTCCAACCTGAAGTACAGCTCACATACACTGGACTCTTAATAATTATGAAATATTCAAAGATGCATCCTATAAGAGTAGACAAAATTTTGGTCAATTAAATTTTGCTGAATTAACAAATACTCCAATTTCCCCCTCCAAAAAAAAAAAAGTTTCCTATAGATGTTTAATACAATTTAGTATGAAAACAAACTTAAACTGGATCCACTTGTGTTTAACAATCCTTAAAAGTAGAATTATGGTTTTAAGGCAACACACTTACCTATTCTGCACCTGAGTAGCTGCAAAATGAACATAATTCTTCTTTTCAAGAAGCTTAGCCAGTAGATTCTCAATTGCACCTTTCTGATTTTGAAAAGCTTCTTCTAAAAACTGATACCTTAAAGCCAGAACAAAAAATGAATTTAGAACACAAAATCTGCAACTAAAGATTTTGGAAATGAAGAAAAAACAGCTGCATCAGTCAATCCTGAAACCTTATTTAAAGGATCAACTCTCTGCCGGCCGCTAGTACCTTACCCCATCTGCACTTGTAACTGCCAATTCCTCTCCTCTGACCAGAAAAGTCATTTTAAGAGAAAAAAAAAATGTTTGAGCAATCTTACATCAAAGTTTTGATTAAGGGTTACATTTTATTTTTACGCTTCGAAGAATGGAGTAAATTATATACATTTTAAATTAGAAAATACAACCACATTATAGAAAATATTTTTAAAGTGGAGAAAATCACCTATAGTTTCAACATAACAAAATCACTGCTATCACTTAAGTATACGTAGTTCCTTAGTCTTTTTATCATGCATTTTAAAATGCAAGTGTACTCATAATGTACATGCAATTTTGCATCTGACTTTTTTATCTTTATAATCATAACCTGAAATAATTTTTCAGTACCATATGCTGTGTATTATCGAACTTTCCAAAAGGGTAGTATCAACTGACAGTATCAGCAACCCTAGTTCTATTTTAACTTTGTCAACATGAGTGGTACATGTTAAGATTTTCTCTAATCACAATACTGAAAATTAGAGCCCTGGTGGCTCAGTGATCAAGCACTTAGCTGCTAATCAAAAGGTCGGCAGTTCGAATCCACCAGCCACTATTTGGAAACCCTATGGGGTAGTTCTACTCTGTCCTACAGGGTTGCTCTAAGTCAGAATTGACTCAGCAGCAAAGGGTTTGGTTTGTTCATTTGTTTGTTTTAATAGTGAAACTTTAGACTTTATAATTCAAATATACAGTTGTTTGATTACTAAGAAGCTAGAATGGTTTTGCTAGTTTTATCTCGTTTTATCTCCTTGTAAATACTCATTAAATCAACAAATATTTTTTTAGCTCCTTCTATATGCTAGGGATACATGGGTAAAAAAAAATCCATTATGGCTCATATTTTGTAGGAATTAGGCACAAATATGAAATGATACCATACTGTGATGGAGATATATGCAATCTGCAACAAAAACACAGTGCCTAAGTCTGCCTCAACACTAAGGAAAGCTTCACAGCAAAGTGAGTACATTATTATTCTATGCTAAGTGCAGTGGCATGTCTGGGAAACTATGGCCAAAAAAAATCATGCAAGGGTTACAATATGAGACAACAACTAATAAAATCCAGAGCCAGATTATGAAGGGGCAGGTACATCATACTAATTTTTAGAATTTATTCTCTACGTAACGGGAAACCATTGAAGAATTTTACCCAGCGTGTGATAATCAGAATTACATTCTAGAAAAATCATGAGACAGAAACACATAAGATGGATCTGAAGAAGGCAGCAGAAGAGAAAGATGAGCTGGAACTCTGAGAGTAGCTCAGATGAGAGATCAGGGTACAGTACTGGAGGGTATGGCTGAAAAAAACAAGCTGGAATAAAGGGCTTTATCAGAGAAAGTGGCAACTTTGGCGATTTAAAAGGTTATGTGGCTCCAGTTACAGCAAGGTCCAGGGTACGAACTGATAATAGGATGCATAGTTAAGGTACAGTCAAGAAAAGGTCACTGAAAATGAGGAGATCAAGGTGCTGACAAAGTTATAATTGGCCACGTGGACACTGTAATCATTATGGTAAATGCAGGAACTGAGGTAAAGAGACTATGAGCATCTAGATGTTTGTGTCTTAGTGAGGTCTTGGTTAAGGCAAAGAGAAGAGGAAAGGTTATGAGAAGCTGCACACATAAAGAAAAGTTGGGCTAGATAAAGGGAAGTTTGCTGAGTGGTAGGGTTCAAGAGGTAAAGGAAGAATGGAGAGCAGGAGAAGCAGAAGTGTAGAGCAAATATGGGGATCAGCGCTACAAAGAACAGCTTCCCACTGAGGCTTTTGTGTACTAAGAATTTTTTTTAAAGCAAAATTCTTTTAAAAAATCTGTCCATAATGTGAAGTCTAAACAAAACCTGCTGTCATCTAGTTGACTCCAACTCATAGTGACTCTATAGGGCAGAGGAGAACTGTCCCAGAGGGTTTCCAAGGAGTTGCTGGTAGATTTTAACCACTATGCCATTTGGTTTAATGTTAAGTCAAGCACATTATAAATTGTACAAGATACTGATTAAAAGCACAAAAAGTGCATAGGTGTTTTAATTTAAAAGACAAATTTTAAAAAGTTCTACTGTTGCTAAGGGCACCCAGAGACTGTTCCTTCACTGAAGAGCACATTTCATTTATTCCATATATCATGATTTCCCTACTTTCAAAATTAAATTTTACTATGTTAAATCTGTAAAAATAAAGTAGACGAGAATACTACGCTACGACTTTCACTTAAAGAACATTAAACTGTGAGAAAAAAGGCCTTCTAAAGCAAAGTTTGATTATGTCAGCAAACAGGAGGTACCTGGTAGGAAGTTCAATGATCATAATTCATAAAATCTACCTTGCACAGATTTCTCTTCTCACTGACAAATAAACATGTTTTAGAATCCTTTTTCTAGAAATACCTTGTTGCATTCATGTGAACAACAAGTAAGCAAAAATACACTATTTTCCTACACCTGGGTAAAAATATTTGTCATTTTCACCCCTTATACATAAAGATTGAGACCTGGACTGGATGTTAAAAGATGAGTAAGTTTTTTCTAGAGAGACAAACTTGGGAGAAAAGTAAGGGCTTTCAAGGGAGGGAAACATATCTGAACGAACAAAAGTACAAAGTTCTGAAGCCACCTGTCATTTTTAGGACTAGGAAAAGAACATACAGGAATAGGAAGGTACCAGAAGCTAGAGAGTCCTGTACATTTTGCTGAGGTTGAACTTGGATAATAAATAATGGTGAATCATCAAAGGATTGACGGAGGTAGAGGAGTGGATAGATCGTATTTGTCTCTGTTGACTTGAACAACAAAGGAGCAATATGGAATTGTTTTTACAGCAAGCTACCTCTGATTCTCTTAGCTAACAAAATAAACTTATGTTTTCTCTTTTAACTATCAAAATTATAGAGTTGAAATACTTTAGAAATAGGGAAGAAGAGGAGCCAGTAAATAGCTTAAGTATAATTTTGATTAAATGTGTGAATACTGAAAAAATTCTTTAGATTTTAATCTTGCATATGAAGTAGTGATTCTTAACATGGGCTCCACAGTCACGAAGAGCTATTTCCAGTATTCCAAAATGTCTCAATAAAAATTATGTATAATTATGAGTTAGCACAGGCTAAGGAAAACTTTGAATTTTTGCCTAGTATAACAAAAACTCAGTATAATAACTTTAATACTACTGGTTATACAATTTTGATTAGAATTCATCAGGATGCTTGTATGCAGTTTTTTATTACTGAGAAATAAATTAGTATTTAATAGTCTGCCAAGAAGTTTTGCAAAATGTGTGCTTGTGAATAAATGATGGGAGAGAAATAATAAAAACCTTTTATATATATACATATGTATATATATAAAAGGTTGGCAATCACTGAGCTTATAACTTTTGAATGTACATTTAGGAGCTTATTAGATCCTGAGCTGTACAGATAGAGATGCTACTCTATTTGTCAAGTAAGTATAGTATTATTCTATACTTGTCAGTAAGTATAAACAACAACTGGTAGAATTTTACTCTGACACATCTAGGGAACTATATCATCTTAGTTTGTACCCAAACTGAATATCTACGGAAATATTTTTTTAAAGCTGATTATGAAGTTATTCTGAGTCAATTTTTTTTCCATTATTCATTTTCTAAAAATTAAGTAAAATTATCAGCATATACTACAGGTTGAAATCCACTGAACCTATCGTCCACCTTCAAAAATTCTACACTTATAGCCATGTTTATCTCTATGCCCCGCCCCCCCCAATCCTCTACATTACTTTGAAGGAAATCCCAAACATCAATCCATCCATAGCAAAAGCTAGCCTTTTTTCAGAGCTTACTATGTTTTCAGGCACTGTGCTAAGTATCTTATACAGATTCCCATTTAACCTTGAGAAACACTATGACACTGTTACTGTTACTAGCTTCACAATAATAGTTGGATGATTTCAACAACCTTCTGTGTCTTACTACTTCTTTAGTAAAATATAAACTGGTCTAAAAATTAAATTGGTTAAAACACACAAAGCACTTAGGAATAATAATGGTTCTTCTTAACAGTAATTTTAAACAACTTGCACTGTCACAAGCAAAGCCCCTTCATCCAAAACCTGTAACAACAATAACAACAACAAAAAGCCTACTCTACATACAAACACCTTCTGAGAGTGTTTTTGCAAAACTAAATTTAAAAAAAACACAGAGGCAATGTTCCTCTTTTAAGACTCCATATGGAGCGGAGACAACACAGCCACAAGAGATGATATACAGTTCAGGAAGAGTCACAAAGGGTAGGAATTCTGAGCAACAATGATAAGAATCTATAAGGGTGGAGAATTCTGGAAAGCTTGGGGAAGGCATTAGAATTCTCACAAATAAAACAGGAAACAAAAGCCATCTTTAACTAAATCTCAAAGGGCACAGTAACATCATTTGACATCTGAGTTATGTAAGACTTCACTACTAAAATGGGACATTAGTTTCTATTAGTATCTTCAACTTCACTAATTTTTTCTTCAGTAGTGTCTATAATGCAGTTAATATAATCCAAAATGAAACACAGAGAGAAAAAAAGGTTGAAAAAAAGAACAAAGAATCAGTGAGTTGGGGGATAACTTTAACCACCCTAATACATGTATAATTGGAGACCCCAAAGAAAAAAGGAGAGGAGATAAAATATATTTGAGGAAATTAAAATTATGAGTAAAAATTTTCCAAATTTAATGAAAACTATAAACCTACAGATCTAAGAAGCTCAACAATGCCTAACCAAAAGAAATATTAAGAAAACTATATTAAAGTACAGGCAGTCCACGGGTTATGAACAACTAACTTACCTACAATCCACAATT